GAAGCCGTGCGACGTGACACCCTTGGTGACGTGGATGCCTAGGCGGGCAGAGCACAGGCGCTGTTTAGTAAGGATACCACATGGAAAGGAGCCATACGCAAACATGTGCCGATATATATATATATATATATACACATGTGTGTGTGTGTGTGTGTGTGTGTGTGTGCGTGCGGAAAATGCCGCGTACCCAGGGCGGCCACCTTACGCAGGCCGTCCAGTGTCCAGACCCCCGGATCGTCAGTCATCATGGTCGGCACGCAAAAGAGCCGCGAGCCGGTGGAGAGGGAGTCCTCCAGCCGGCGGACATAGCCGCGCAGGCTGGCATCCTGCGTGTGGGGGCGACCGTCGACAGGAGGATGCGTCAAGGGTGAGTCGACCACGGACGGGGTTCATGCGATTTGGATGCGCTCAATACCCCCCCCCCCGTCGCCCACATGGGAAGAGAAAATAAAGGAAAGAAAAGGCGCGCGCCCCCCCAGACCGTTCAGGTCCAGGATCGGATAGCCAACCAACTGGCCTGGTCCATGGAAAGTGATGTGGCCACCCCGATCAATCTACCGGATGCATATTTGCGAGGATACATACATGTATGTGTGCGTGTGTGTGCGCGCACACACGAATGCAAATAGATACACAGATGCATGGGATTCAGTGGGCAAGAGGATGTCAGTCAGGGAGAAGAGAAGCGGAGGAATGTAGGTCCGCAGGGACGAAAGACAGGGGGGGGGGCACTTGCGCACCTGGTAGTAGTCCGAGCCGAGGGAAACCAGACGCTCAGCCTCCGTGCGGCGCTCCTGGCGCAGGCCCGGCGCCTTGAGCCGGCGCCCGGCCGCATAGGTGGGCGGGTGCTCCAGAAGCAGGAGGAAGTTCGGGAAGTTCGGCGACACCGGCCGGTCCAGGCCGCTCTGGTCGTGCATCGACCGGAAGCCCGGGTCCCGCTGCGGAAGGTTGGCCGCCTCGATCGAGGCCACCAGGCGCGTGGACTATGCATGTGCATAGGATGTCAGCGGGAAGGACGCGGGGAATGGGTGCCAGGGAGCAAAGCCGTCCAACGCACCAGCTTGGTCTGGAGGGACAGGGCACGCGCATACTGGACGCGGCCCAGCCAGAGGGGGATCAACGGGCGAGCGGACATTGCGCTCGGAGAAGCTCAACGGGAGGGGAAGGACACAGGAGGGCAGGGAGAAGGGGGGACTTCTGCTCCAGTGAGAAGAATGGGGGGGGGGGGGGGGGGGCATGGCGCCTGACGGGGGGACCCCCGCCGGCTGGGCGGCCTTTGAAGGGAAGTTGCTGATCGCCGGCGGGGCGCGCTGCTGGAGTCAGCATCGGCCCGGGTCGGCAGCCGGACGATCGCCCGGGCCCCACATCTTGGGGTTCCCTGTGGAGGGGGGGGGGGGGCCGAGTCGCAGGGGCGAGCAAGCGCAGCCCACACAAGATCCCCTTTGGGCGCGGTCACACAGGCTCCCTGTGGCGACGCCCCCCCCCCCCAGTGGGGCGCAGGGCCCGCGCTTCAAGCCAGGTGGCTGGGGGGAGAGGCGCTGGGGAGAAGGCGTCCAGGCGGCCCCCCACGATTGGGGCCGGGTATATTGGGGCCGATCGGCCGGCATGAACACGTGCTCGGACGCGACGATCTCCAATAGCAGAGTGCTGGGCGGTGGGGGTCTCCGATCGGCCGGTGCGTGTGCCCAAGTGGGGGGGGGGGGGAAGGCCCGCTGCAAGTTCGATGTCCCCTCTGGCTTGGAAATTCACGGCACCCTGCTCGGCAGGGCAGCCTGAGCCAGATCTCTCAAGCGGGACCAGGCTGGCATCGCCCTGGCTGGTACCAAGGACACGCCAGACTCGCTTGCCCCTCTCCTCCCTGCCATCTCGGTGTATTTTTCTCCATTCGCCGCTCCCTCCCGGGCACTTTGCTTCGGTCTCGCTTCTTCCCCCTGCTACCCTCCCAAAAATGAACATGCAAACGGTTGGCTCCTCCACCCAGCGCTCGCCACCCGAGCGCGGGAGCTTCCCCCTGGATCGGACTGGTGCGCCTGACCATGTTTGTGTCATTCTGGGCCCTGCCCCCCCTCCCACACACAGACACACATACACACACACACATATGCTGACCGCTGCCCGCCTCTCTCCTCGCCCCTCCCTACTGAAGATGCCTGCCGCTTGGCTATGTCGCTGTACATGGACTGCCTGCGGGAGGCGGCCAACGACACGTCCAAGTGCCGAGACCTGGCCCAGTCATACCTTGAGTGCCGCATGAACACGTACGCCCGCCGGCGTTTTGCCTGATCGCCCGTGTCTTCCCTTTCTCGTATTCCGCATCCTCCGTGGTCCTCTGCCCGCATTGACCGTGCCTGCGCCGTATGCGTCTCTCTCTCTCTCTCTCTTGCAACACATGGCCTGGTAATCCGCACAGCGGGCTCATGGAGAAGGACAACATGTCCAACCTTGGCTTCAAGGACAATGCGGCGGCCAGTGCGCCGACCGACGAGGCTGCCTGCACGTCGTCTTCCAGCACACCGACCGAAGCTGCGGCCCCCGGGTCGTAATCACTTGCTGCACCTCTCTCTCTCTCTCTCTCTCCCACCCCCCCCTCTCTCTCTTTCGCTGCTAGCTCTCCACTCCTTCCTTCGCTGTCCTGCCTCACCTCATTTTAGACCCTGAGAATAAAGCCACCCCCTCTCCTTGCCTCCCCCTGCCGCCCAACTCGTGCTTCGCCAGTCCGGCTATCAGCCCGACTCCAGGTGGAAAGGCACCCCCCCCCCCCCCCGGCCAGCCCCCAGCTAGCGCCCCATCAAGCCCCGGCGAAATACGCGAAGATGGCAAGGGCCGAAAGGTGCATTGTTGCTCGGGCAAAAGTTCGCCGCGTGTGCTCACCCCCCATCGATCCCCGGGGCCTGGCGCGCGGCCATCGACCGCAGAGTAATTTGAAAGGAAGTCGGCAGCAGCGAGGGTGGCATGTGCGCCCGGACAAAGGGGTCCTCGAAGACCAAGTCCTTGACCGTGGGCCTGCGAGTGCGCACACTGAGGCATCGGCCGATGAAGGCCTTGACCTCTGGGGACACGGGAATCCCCGGGGGGAAGGCCAGTGCCTGCCCGGCAACCAGAACCACCGGGACCGGTGTGTCAGAGCCGGAGGCCGGGCCCCCCGGCGTCGAGAGCTCGGCCGCCCGCTGTCGGGCCTCCCAGTCCAGGCGGCGCATGGCCCGGCGGTCCTGGCCGGCGCGGGCCACCCGGGCCTGGAAGAAGTCCTCCTGCCGGACCCCCTGGCCGAAGGGCTTCTGCCCGAAGAGCAGTTGGTAGAGGATGCACCCGAGGGACCAGACGTCGACCTTGGTGCAGATACGCGGCGGGCTGGCGGCCAAGATGCCGGTGGCCGGGTTCCGGGGCCGGCCCGGAGTGGCGACCGGGGCGGGGGCGGGGGCGGCGGCGGGGGCGGCGGCGGCGGCGGCCGCTGGCACCTGGCCGGCAGGCAGCATGGGGCTCAAGGGGGGTGGCTCGGTGTCGGCGGCGTCGGCGGCCGCGGCTCGTAGCTCCTCCCTTCGCGGGGTGTAGCACTCGGGCGGCAGGTACCAATGTGTCCCGGCGCCGATGCTGGTAAGCTCCACCCCATCGTCCTCATCCTCGGCCGCGGACCGGGGGATGGGCTCGGTGGCGAGACCCGTTGCCGATTGGCCGTCTGGCAGCAGGGCCATGGGCCGGCCTTCCGGGGTCTCCTGGAGGATTTTGGCCAGGCCAAAGTCCGCGATCAGGGCGCGCCCATGGTTCAGCAGGATGTTGGCCGGCTTCAGGTCATAGTGGACGACGGCCAAGTGGCGGCCATCCGGCTGCCGGGCGCTCAGATAGCACAGCCCGGCCAGGATCTGCATGGCATAGGCCACGGCCTCCGGCTCGGGGAGGCAGCCCCGCCGGCGGAGGAGTTGATCCAGGTCGCCGTCCTGACACAGCTGCATCACCATGCAGTAGGCATCCGGGGCGAAGGGGAAGACGTCGTACATGCGCACCAGGCGCGGCCCGGAGAAGGCTCGGAGGATCTGCACCTCGCGCCGGGTGTGGCGGAGAAAGGCCTCCCGGCGTGCGGGCGACCATGCCGGGTCCAATTGGTGGATCTTGCAAGCGACCTCGACCCCGGTGCGCAGGTCGCGCGCCTGATACACCTCGCTGAAGCCTCCCCGGCCGAGGAGCTTCAGCAGCAGGTACCTGCCCTGGAGAACCGGGAAGTCGTTGAAGCGCGAGGCGTCTTCGGCGGCGATTCGCTGCTCCTCGCGCATTGCCTCCCCGAGCTCCAGGTCCAAGGCGCGCCTGCGCCGGAGGATATCCTCGATGAGCTGTGTGTGTGTGTGTGTGTGTGTGTGTGTGTGTGGGTGACAGAGGGGGAGCATGCATGTGTTTTCCGGGTGGGTGTAGCCATGGGGAAGGCGGACGGGCCAAGGTGGTGGATCGTGGCGGTGACCAATGGATTGCAAGGATCGAGATGTCAGAATAGGCTAGATGTGAGGGGAGATTCCCCGCGCGAAACCAACCCCCATCCTTCCTCCCCTTCTTCCCCCTTTCTCAGGCGTTTTTGGCTGATACAAGAATATGGACCGGCCCGAGGGCGGAGGAAGGGGGAGGGAGATAATCCCGGACGGACCTCGGATACCTGAAGGATCTCGTTGCGGCACTGTTCGATGTTTTCCTGGATTTGCTCGATATGCCGAAGGCTGGCCACTGACACGCCGCCCTCGTGCATCAAAGCGTCCACCGTGCGCAGGGCCAGCCCGCCAAAAGAGGGTTGCTGGCGGCCTGCCGGTGGGCTGGCAGCCGGGCAGGGCGCCTGGCCGTGGGGCAGCCCCGACAGGCCAATGTGTACATTGCCCAGAGGCGAGCGTGCGTGGAGTTGGTCCAAAACACACTGCATGGCCTCCAGCGCGTCCAGCAGGGCACCCCGGCGCTGGACAGCGGCAGTTTCTTCCTGGAGGATTTGGGCGAACTCGCTGCCCACCAGCCAGGAGCCCGGGCGCTCGGCTTCCCGGCGGCCAGACGGCCGCCGCTGGCCGAGGCGAAGGAAGTTGGCATCACGCCGCCGGCGTGCCTCAGCCCGCTCGGCCAGAGTGCGCTCGCGGAGAAGCGCGCACAAGGCCTGCTCCGGGTTCGGGAGATCGGCAATGCGAACAGTCTGTTGCCCGGGAGGGTGTCCGGTCGCCCACCGGCACTGAGAGGTATGATGCTGCAGGAACGAGTGCTGCTGCTGCTGCTGCTGCTGCTGCTGCTGCTGCTGCTGCTGCTGCTGCTGATGTTGCAGTGGAGAAAGTGGCTGTCCGGGATAGGGGTACTGGCAGGCTGAAAGGTCGATGCCGGCAGCCATGGGCGGCGCCAGCATGAGCCCTGGGTGAGGCACCTTAGGGGAGGGGCGCGTGGGCGAGGCGGGGCCCATGCCCCGGAGCGGGGACACCGGGGTGCCGCGCGGCGGGGACATCGGTACCCCACGCACCGGCGTCACTGGGGCCCCGCATCCCGGGGCCAGGGGTCCCCCCCGCACTGGGGTCAGGGGTGTGCAGCGGCTTCGGGCGGCGGGCACGCCTCGAGTCGGGGTAGAGGGCGGGGCTGGCCCGCGAGCCGGGGTGGGAGGCGCCCCCGGTGGCGACTGTGCCGTCCGATGCGCCTCCCATCGGGGCGGGATGTCGGTCCTTTGGCAGAGGCCCTCCAATGGCATGCGATCCCCGGGGGAGGCGATGCTCAAGGCCTCCTCGATGTCCTTCAAGAAGGAGTCCATCGACGCGTCACTGGTAAAGAGGGCCGGCAGTCGGCCGGCCGCCGGGGGGGCCTTGTCCCGGGACCGGACCCCGGCGCGCTGTTGCGAAAAGAGCGACCGGCGAACGGTGGACCCTGGCCGACGAGCGGGACTAGTCGCGGCGAGGCGGCGCATTGGGGGGCCTTCAGGCGATCGCGGCTCGGCCGAGCCGGTGAAAGTGACCACATTCTCGGTCGGACCATGGTCGATGGCGCCCCCGGTGCCTTGAAGCAGGGATGCTGCCTGAAGTCGCTCATTGAGCCCATCGGTCAGAAGGGGCCCATGATGGTATGCCAGCGGCTGCCGGCCAGACTGCAGGAGGTCGCCGCCAGATGTGCCAGCACGTAGGAGCACCTCTGCGGAGGAGGAAGTCACCGGGGTGGGATCCGCGAGCAGGAGCGTCTGCATATGCGTCCGATGGGAGGTCGTGCGCTGACCCGGCCCGGGGAAGAGCATCTGCGAGTGGGTGTGGGGCTGTTGCCGAGGTTGCTGATGGGGCTGGTGCTGCGGCATGTGATGGAGCTGGACCTGGCGCAGGCTCATGGGCCCCTGCTGGGTGGCATGGTGGCGGCCTGGCCTGGCGGATGAGGGGCTTTCCGCATGGAAGACAGGCGCGCGCACGGCCGGCGGCACGGCGGCCGGCTCGATTGGCTGTGGCGGGGTTGTGGGCTGGGGAGGAGTCGGCGGGGAGGCCGGCCGCCGGGGGGAGTGCGTGGGAGACCGGGAAAAGACCAATGCCCGGGTTTGGGCATGGCGCGCTGGCCGAGGGGATGGCCGGGTGTCCGGCATCATGGTGGCATCTTCATGTGTGGCCTGCGGGCCGGGCGGGGGAGATGTCATGTTCACCGGCCGCGGCCGAGGGGCGGGGGCAGTGGAAGTGGATGTCGAGGCGTCGGAGTCCTCCAATAAGAAGTCAGCCAAGACCGGCGCCCCCGGGGGCGAACCCAAAGTCGTGGCCGAGGGAGACAAGGTGACAAGGCCGTGCCCGGTGTAGGTGTGCCCGAGCAGCAGGTGGGCCCGGGGCAGGGGTTCTGCAGGAGTGGCGAGGGGCGGGGGGG